ATGTTGTTTCCTTATTTTTGGAAGTTGCTTACAATGCACTTTATTTATTCAGGTAATATTATATCCTTCTAAGCTCTTTGATGGAGTTGAATACTAGATATTTATAGTTAAACTTTTCCATAGTTATGATAGAAAGACAATTGGGTACAAAACTTTCACCAAAATAGGATAAACAATGGAGTATTTTCTTTGAAATTGTCAAATACAAATGTACTAGATATTGTAAATGCAATTCTTACTTGATAATTATTCTTATTATATATAGTTTTACTACGTCTTTCCTTTTTATTTAGACAAAAAGGGGAAATATTGTGTGATGGAGGAAGGTCATTGGCTAATAAAGAAACTGCCTTGGCCCATTTGACAGGCCAGCCTTTAGGTGGGTGGAGTAAACAGAACAGAATGCTGGGAGGCAGAGGAAGTGAGCTGATATGCCTTAGTTCTGCTCTCTGAGGCAGACGCCATAAAGCTCCGACCCAGAATGGATGTAGGCTAGAATCTTCCTGGTAAGCGCACCTTGATGCCACACACATTAATAGAAATGGGCCAGGCAGTGTTTAAATGAATACAGTTTGTGTGTTCTTATCTCGGGGCATAAGCTAGCCAGGTGGCTGGGAGCAGGGCGGTAGGAATGCAACCCACAGCTCCTTCAACAATTGTGGAAAAGTTTCTTTGTTCATTTGAAGGTGTGTCACTCAGATTTGTTTATTAAAAAGGTGAACGGCCAATAGTCATGCAGGATTTTGGGGCAGAGAGAATGTTGAAAAGAAGGAGGAAATACCAGGGGCACAGATCAAGCAACATGGGCATTGCAAAGTAAAGGTAACTGAGCCATGTAAAAGAATGTAGAATAAAAAATATGAGTTAATTTAAGTTGTAAGAACTAGTTATGAAACAAGCCTAAGCTATCAGCCAAGCTTTCCTAACAATAAACCTGTGTGATTATTTGGAAACTGGAAGGTGAGACAAAAAAAATCTGCCTAATAACCTATCTCAGCACATAACAAAATATACTTTTACTTCTTTTCATTATGTGCCTTAATAATGTTAAGTCATCTGGAAAATAAAGGTAGCTATTTTCAACTCCTAAAAAATTAAACAAGATTTCCAGATAATCTGGAAAATCCACTTCTATATATGTACCCAAAAATATTAAATACAGTGTCCCCAAAAGGATATTTGTATACCCATGTTCACTGCAACATCATTCACAATAGCCCCCAAAATGAAAGACACCCAAACATCCATCAGTGGTTGAATATATAAAATGTATACGTGTTTGTACATGCATATATACAGTGTATCTGTGAAGTGTTTAAGTAATATACAAACATATATATTATCCAGTCTTTAACAGAAAGGAAATTCAAAAACATTCTATTGCATGAATAAATCTAAGGAAAACTGTGCTAAATGAAATCTCATAAAAGGACAAACTTATATGAGCCCACTTATTTGAGTTACTTGACAAATTCATAGAGACAGAAAGCAGTTTGGGGGTTGCCAGAGACTAGGGGAACTGAGAATGGCTGTTTAGTGGTTATAGAGTCTCAGTGTTGCAGGATGAAATGAATTCTGGATTCATCATATAGTACAGAAAGGCTCATGAGGCCCCAGCCCTGATTAAGAATTTAAAGGCAGTTAACAGGTGCCAGAAGGGAGGGGCCCACGAGGATCTATAGACAGCTAATGGTTGCTAGAGAAGGAAAAGACAATTTATTTCTGTGATGTAGACATTGGTAAGATATCTGTGCTCCTGTAAGTAAAACTAATTAAGACAATGGTTCACAAATAAAAACAAAAATATGGAAGTAGAGGAAAACAAACTAGGAAGATAAAAGGTTTCAGCAGGAGTGTGTGTGGGGGGCAAGAAAGGGTAATAAGGGATGACTATGATAAAAATACAATCAGATAAGTGTATTAAAATATAGTGAAGGGCTGGAGAGATGGCTTAGCGGTTAAGAGCATTGCCTGTTCTTTCAAAGGTCCTGAGTTCAATTCCCAGCAACCACATGGTAACTCACAACCATCTGTAATGAGGTCTGGTGCCTTCTTCTGGCCTGCAGGCATACACACAGACAGAAAATTGTATACATAATAAATAAAATATATAATGAAACTCACCTGGCAGTGGTGGCACAAGCCTTTAATCCCAGCACTTGGGAGGCAAAGACAAGTGGATCTCTGTGAGTCTGAGGCCAGCCTGGTCTACAGCGAGAGTTTTAGGACAGGCTCCAAAGCTATAGAGAAAACCTGTTTCAAAAAACCATACATAATATTGGAACTCATTGTTTATAATTAATATACGCTAATAAAAAATAATTTTTAAAACTTCTGGATATTGGTTGCAAACAATGTGAACAGATTCAATATGACTGAAATCTATGTATACTGTATAAAAATTACCAGAAATAAAATGTGTGGGTTCCCCTAACCTAATTTATAATATCATTGTTTGGTCTTTGTCTCTTGATATCAGTTCATGAAAATGTTCTAGTGAGTTCTACTCCTGTTGTAAGATGGACTAATCAAGGAAGTACACCCTACTGTTATCAAAAAGCAAACCTCAAGGATCATTAATGGTGCTATGATCATTAAGTAAAAAGTTATGCCTATACCAAAAGAATATGTAACACAATGTACTTTGCTTCTGTACATTACCATGTGCCAGAATCATACAAGTAGCGTGGGCATAAAAGTAGTTACATTCAATTATGAGGTATTGGGATATACGCATGTTGTCAGAATTTCACCTCATAAATTACCTGCTAATTGCAAAAGGAAGAGGCATTTACCTTTTAAAACAGCAATACCTGCTGGACATCATATGAATAAGTAGGCAATCTCTGCCCTGCTTAATGTGGCATAACGAAACACGCACCTCTGGCCTTGATGCAAAAGGTTCAGAATGAATGTAATAAAGCCAATAGTCTCAAGTTTCAGGCAACAGAGGAACAAGCCAAGGACCACATGGAAATACTATATATGAAATATATGAAAACTATCCTGGTTTCATAAATAGGTGAATTTTTAATATGGTCTAGGTTTTAAGTATAGGGTTATTCAGATTTACTTATGCATATGCACGTTTTGCTTACATGTACATCTAGGCAACATGTGTGTGCCTGGGTTCATGCCAAAGTCAGAAGAGGGCTTTGATTTCCCTGGAACTAGAGTTAAGGATGGTTGTGAATTGCCATGTAGGAGCTGGCAACGCAGCTGGGCCCTCTGCAAGAGCAGCAAGTGTTCTTAACCACTGAGCCATCTCTTTCCCCACTTAAGTATTGTTAACCTTCTTACAATTGACAATAGTATTGTCAGCCCAGAAAATGTTCTTGTTCTTTTTCTAAATTTTATTTTACTTTTTATTTTTAATTATGTGTATGTCTATGAGAGGAGATGTTCACATGACTACAGCTACCTGCCATTCATTACATGTAGCCCAATCTCGGGTCTCTGCAAAAGCAGTCTGTGCTCTTATCTGGTGAGCCCTCTATACCTTCTCCTTATGAGACACATCATGAAGTGTTTAGGAGACTTTCATAATGTGTATAACATCCTATTATATTGTTAAAAAATAATGTGTGTATTTCTGTACTCAAAGAGACGGTTTAAGTAATTATGACAAACCTTTAAGTTGTCTAATACAGATCATGGGTATTCATAGTTCAATTCTTTCAGCTCTATTTTGTTTTAATTTTAAAGTAAGAAATAGCTGTAGAGAATTACAAAGGAAAAAATAATAAAGCTCTCATTTTTATTTAAAAGTCTATCAATAGACTTGCTATCCCATTCAGCTCTCTCTGCAGATTCTAATAGTCTTATTTATTCAGTGATCACAAGAGAATAAAAAGTTATTCAAGGGGCTGGAGAGATGGCTCAGAGGTTAAGAGCATTGTCTGCTCTTCCAAAGGTTCTGAGTTCAATTCCCAGCAACCACATGGTGGCTCACAACCATCTGTAATGAGGTCTGGTGCCTTCTTCTGGCCTGCAGGCATACACACAGACAGAATATCATATACATAATAAATAAATAAACATTTTTAAAAAAAGTTATTCAATAGCCTAGTGTGGTGGTACATGCCTTTAATCTCAGCATTCAGGAGGCAAGGGGAACTCTGTGAGTTCAAGGCTACCCTGGACTACATAGTAAGCTCTAGGTTAGTCAAGACTACATAGTAAGATCCTATCTCAAAAGGAAAAGTTGCTGGGCAGTGGTGGCGCACGCCTTTAATCCCAGCACTCGGGAGGCAGACGCAGGCGGATCTCTGTGAGTTTGAGGCCAGCCTGGTCTACAAGAGCTAATTCCAGGACAGGTTCAAAGTTACAGAAAAATCTTGTTTCTAAAAACAACAACAACAACAACAACAAAAAAAAAAAAAACAAAAAGGGAAAAGTTATATGGGTATAGTGGTACAGGTATCTATAGGTACAGGTAGAGTGGAACAGACCTGACTTCTTAGCACTCAAGAGACACAGGCAGGAGGATTACAAGTTCAAGACCATACTTACTAAATTCTGTCTCAAAACAAAACAAAACCAAAGAAGTTATTGCAACAATGACAGCAAAAGGCAAAGTACAATAACGATAAAATGGTCAAAGCGATTATCTCTAAATTGTTGAACTACTGGAATTTTTCCACATATGTTTAATATTTATGGTACATCTTATGCATTATAATTATATGGTTAAAAATACTGTTATGCTCTTTGAACATAAGCACTACAGAGACCATTATAGACAAACATTACTGTGTTTAATGCAAAACTGACAGAGCTATACTGAAATACTAAATTCACTGTGAAATTTAGAAATTGTATGTATGAGACATACATACAATCCTAAACTATATGTATAGAAATAGGAACCACTGTAAATTTTGATCCTTTCATGGGTGGCAAGGAGCTTTTTACCTTGCTTGGGGTTAGTCACAATCTCATGACTTAACATGAAAATTCAAGTAAAGAATATAATACACCACCAGTAAAAGAGTACTCACTCTCCACAGACCCCTGGTACCTTCTTGCTGGTATATATCAATGAAGCTGCCAATCATGCTCCCTTGGAACAAACTTCCTTGAGCCTGCATTCGAATCTAAAATGAAAAAAGGGAACATTCTATTTTGACAGAAAAAAAACCAAAGTGAGACAATTCAGTCCTTTAAAATTAAGGAATTATTTTTAAATCTCTGCTATTATGATGAATTAAATTGTACACAAAAGCATAATTTGTGCCAAAGTATAGTCTATAAAGGTTGTATTTAGGTCTCATATTTCCCACAGTAAATCTATCTTTTCTAGACTTGTACAATAACAAGTATTCATGAAATATAGCGTAGTGGCACAGGCCTTTAATCCCAGGACTCAGGAGGCAGAGACAGGTGAATTTCTGTGAGTTCAAGGCTTGCCTGGTCTACACAGTGAGTTCCAGGGCAGTAATGGCTACATAGTAAGACCCATGTAATTAATTTAGTAAAGAATTAGGGACTACTCAAATGTCCAAAAACCAATGTCAACAACATATTGGTTACATAAATGATGAAACATTAATTTAACAGAATACAGTAGAGCCATAACATTTTCCCCTAAAGTATTTGTAGACCTTAGAAGGCATTAAAAATTAATTGTTAAACATGCCAGGTGGTGGTGGCATGTGCCTTTAATCCCAGTATTTAGGAAGCAGAGGCAGGTGGATCTCTGCAAGTTCAAGGCCAGCCTAGTCTACAAGAGCTAGTTCCTGGCCAGGTACCAAAGCTACACAGAGAAACCTTGTCTCGAAAAACCAAAAAAGAAAGAAAGAAAGAAAGAAAGAAAGAAAGAAAGAAAGAAAGAAAGAAAGAAAGAAAGGAAGGAAGGAAGGAAGGAAGGAAGGAAGGAAGGAAGATTAATTGCTAAACATAAAAGTGCTGTTTCTTACCAAAAATGTGAATTAAAAAACACAGCGAGAAGACTAGGTGATCATATATACCTAAATATTAACAGAGGTTTACATATGAATGGGGAGTCTATAAGTGAGGATTGTTCTCTTTTGAGTTCAATTTCTAGAACTTATGGCCAAAACAGAGCTGATTCCAAAAGGTTTGACCTAACCTCCACATGTACATACACATGCGCCCCCCACAAAATATAGTAACGGTAGTGATGATAAATTTATTTGGGGGCTAGAGCACTGGCTGTTATTGCCGAAGACCTGGGTTTGGTCCTCAAAACCAATATGGCAGCTCACAACTCTCCTTAACTACGGTTTCAGGGGCTCCAATGCCCTCCCTCTTCAGGTTCTATGGGCACTAGGCACACATGGTACACAGGCATACATTTAGGCAAAGTACACATACACAAAAACTAAATATTTAAATTTTTAATTTAATTTTCTTTCTTTTTTGTTTGTTTTTTGAGACAGGGTTTCTCTGTGTAGCTTTGGCTATCTTGGAACTCATTCTGTAGACCAAGCTGGTTTCCAACTCACAGAGATCCATCTGCCTCTGCCTCCTGAGTGTTTGGGTTAAATGTGTGTGCCACCAATGCCCAGCTAATTTCATTTTTTTAAAAATAATGACAATTTATACTAGACAATCAAATTTATACCAGACAATCAAATTTATATCAGATAATCAAATAATGACCAGTTTTATATTTGTAGATTTAATCATTCACCAGTTGAAAAATATTTGGAAAAAACTGCATTTGTACTGAACACATGTAGAATTTTTCTTTGTCATTATCTCTGGAATAATATAACAACTATTTACATATGTTTACATTATATTAAACATCTTAAGTAATCTAAAGTGGACTTAAAATATCTAAGGGAATATGCACAGGTTATACATAAATACTGCTTCATTCTATGTAAGCATCTTATTGAGCATCTAAAGATTTTGTTATTCACTGGGGAAAAGTCCTGGAAGAAATCCCTACAAGATTGGGATGAACAAACTCTGCTGTAATCGCTATAAGGTGAATCTCCTATCACTTGGTTTGCATTATCCTGGATCCTGATTTATACTTTCTCTTATTATAAGCAACGAACTTGAAATTTTTTTTTCTTGTAACTCACAGCTGGAAACATGACTCAGCTGTTAAGAGAGCTTGCTGGTTTTCCAGAGGATCCAGGCTTGACTGCTGCACCCACATGGCAGCTCACAACTGTCTGTAACTCCAGTTCCAGGGATTTGGATGTTCTCACCTGGCTTCCATGAACACTGCATGCATGTGGTACATGGACATACTTGCAGGCAAAATACCCCCACATATAAAATAATATTGTTTAAACTTGAGATTCATGGTTGTAAATACCTCTATACCCAGTAAGAAGACCAGACTACATAAGATTCTCTCTCAGGAAAAAAAAAATCCTAGTTTGTGGTCCTTCACATTGTTTAATCACATATTTTGTGCTTTATTAACTAAGAAGGAATGAGGTTTTTTTTTCAAGACAGGGTTCTTTTGTGTAGCTTTGGAGCCTGTCCTAGAACTCACTGAGCTGACTCAAACTGACTGAGCTGGCCTCAAACTCCCAATTTTTGCTATAAGTCAACACACCATCTGAAGATTTGTAATAGGTAAAGGATATGCCTTTGTTTTGTAAAATGGGAAAAGGGCTATTAGAAACACAAATCCATTCTCACACCACTTAAGGAAAACAGAGTAAGGAATTTAGAAAACAATTCCCTAGAACTGCGGAGCTCTGAAAATATCCCATAGTTGGGTTAAAAGCCCAAGCTGAAAACCACTGGATTAATGCATATCACATTAAACTACTCCTGAACATCTACTATGAAGCATGTTATACAAGTTTACATGTATTATCTCTAATTCTTACCAACTTTATGCTCTAAGCACTGAGTAGTTAGGAGATTTTCCCAAGAGTTTAGAACTAACAATGGACAGTGTAAGACTCAGAACTCGAACCTGAGTTAAAGTTGCGGTCTTTCCACTCGCATGGCAGACACCTATCTCTCTTACCTTTAGAACATCAGTGGGATTGGCTATAGTCGATGAAATCACTCCTGACACTACCCCACAGATCATATTAATTAGGAGAGTTTCATCTGTAAAAATGTAAAATAAACAAAATGAACAGATAGATAGAGAGAGATAAAGAGAGAGAGAGAGAGATAGAGAGAGAGAGATAAAGGTTCATTTTATTAAGTACTGTTTTCTCAGAGTACCAAGGAAAGATTTCCTGGAGAGATGACTTAAAAATTAACTTCAAGATTTATCAAAGTAAAGACTCTCAAATATTTGTAGCACATCCCAAATTTATACAAAATATAAATTATAAAATATAAACCATTATTTCCCTAAAAACATTATTTTTTTTAATTTTTATTATTTTGAAGACATCACATTCTTCAACCTAATTGTGAGTATAAGACATAAATTAGAATGTGGTATTTCCTTTTCAGCCACTTCAAACATAATAATACATCCACTTTTAAGTCTTTTAAAGTTTTCTGAGATTATAATCTATGGGGTGTTTTTTGTTTTATTTTGTTTTTCTGTTTTTCAAGACAGGGTTTCTCTATGTAGACCTGGCTATCCTGGAATTCAGTCTGTAGACCAGGCTGGCCTTGCACTCAGCGATCTGTCTGCCTCTGCCACCCAAATGTTAGGGATTAAAGGTGTGTGTCACCACCGCCTGAGATTATAATTTAATTACAATATTTCTTCCTTCCCTTTCCTCCCTCCAAACCCTTCCATGTACCTGTTCCTGTTCTTCAAATTTATGGCCTTCTTTTTCACTAATTGTTATTACATGTAAATATGCAAATACATACATACATATTCCTAAATATAACCTGTTCAGTCTCTATAATACTATTTGTATGTATGTTTTCAGGACTGACCATTTGGCATTGGACAAACAATTGGTGTGCTCTTCTCTGGGGAAGACCACCTCTTGCGCTCCCAGCTTTCTGTAATTGCCTATAGCTCTTTGTGTAGGGCTGAGGCCTCATGGGCTTTTCCCTGTGCAGTTTGGCATACCTTGTTCAATTTTTAAGTCTTTTTATGAAAAGTTAACTTTAAAGAATAACAAGATGCTAAAAAACTATAGTCTTATGTGTAATAAAGTTATCTAAATATTAATGCTAAATGGCTTTAGAGCTCTCCTAGCCTCCATTTATGTAAGAAGGTTTCTGTAGTCAAATATGAAAAAGCAGGAGTATAATTCCTGCTGCTGAATAATGAATGGAAAGAATTAGATATAGACCAGCACTCTGCTACCGAGTTACAAAAGAAATAATTTAGAGCTAAATTCCCTCAGCTAGAAACAAGAAAGGAACAACAGAACATAATGTTCTACAGAGAATATCTAATCTTCACCAGTCCTACTTCTCATGAAGGGCCTATAAATAGAAAATAAGTAAACCCACATTAATAAACTATGAAAGGAAAATATTTTCAGGAGAGATGAAAGTGAATCCTTCAGGATTCCCACCTAAGAGGCTCCAGAAAATGCTGATTTAGAATAAAACAAGTCCTTCAAGAGATACTGCTAACATGAAGTCAGTCCAGCTTTCTCCATCATCCAGTAACCCCAGGCCTATGATAAAAATCCATGGTGCAAGTATCAGACTCAAATGGAAAAACCTACAACAACTCTGAATTTGGGTTAACTGGCCATAGGTACATTAGAGTTCAGACTATAACAGACTAAAATTTATCTACCTACCAAAAGCTTATCAAAATTGACCTCTAGATGCCAGGTGGTGGTGGCGCACGCCTTTAATCCCAGCACTTGGGAGGCAGAAGCAGGTGGATCTCTGTAAATTCAAAGCCAGCCTGGTCTACAGAGAGAGTTCCAGGACAGCCAGGGCTGTTACACAGAAAAATCCTGTTTTTGAAAACAACAACAACAACAACAACAAAGAATTGACATCTAGGAAATGCCTCTAACTGATGAAGACAGCATTCATTTTCAGGCTTCATTTCTAGGCTTCTTCAAGAATGACAACAAGTTTTTTTTTTTTTAAGAATTATTATTTTAGGAGCTGGAGAGATGGCTCAGTGGTTAAGGGCAATGACTGTTTGACCAGTTTCTATTCCCAGTACCCACATGGCAGTTCTCAACTGTCTGTAATTCCAGGTCCAGCATCCTCACACAGACATACATACATACAGGCAAAACAGCAATAAAATAAAAAAATAAACATTTTTTTAAAAAAGGAATTATTATTTTAAGCAAGGCGATGATGGTGCATGCCTTTAATACCAGCACTTGGGAGGCAGAGGCAAATGGACTTCTGAGTTTGAAGCCAACCTGGTCTACACAGAGAGTTCCAGGACAATCAGGGCTATACAGAGAAATCCTGTCTTGAAAATCAAAAACAAAATGACAACAAAAAGAGAACTATTATTTTGGGGGTAAGACATATATCATGGCATATGTATGGAGGTCGGAGTTCAACTTTATGAACCACCTTTGCATGGGTTCCAGGTATCAAACTCAGGTAGTCGCACTTGCATGAATTTGCCCATCTTGCCTGCCTAAAAGTTTCTCAGTTGATAGCAAATGATAAATTTGAAGAGCAGGTGCCTCTAACCCACATATGCCCTCTGTAGGGATTTAGCTCAAGTCAACAGAAGCCCACTTATCCCTGCAGTAATTGTCTTTCATTCTCTAGCATCGTGAGATAAACATTTCACAGTAAGCATGATTTCAACAATCCCTTTGAGGATAACCTCAAAAGAGAGTTGAGCATACTGACCTTCCAAACGTTCTACAAATAATCGCTTCAAGCTTTGGTAAATACCAATTTTGATGGTGCCATATGATGCCTGTCTTAGTAAAGCAGGAGCAATTCTTCCCAAAAAGAGAGAGAGAGAGAAAAGTTAATTTTATATAACACACATTTGTAGATTTTACAATTCTTTTATCTATATCCTTCCAAGAAGTATAGCATGCTTTTTTTTTACTCACCCAGGAAGAAAGAAAGCTCAAATCCCACGTCATAAAACAAACATCAACAAAGTAAAAAGAACTAAATTTATATAGAATATATTTCCTGACCATAATGGAAACAAACAAGAAAATGATAAGGAGAATGCTCAAACACTTGCAAATCAAACAATACACATCTAAAACAACATGTGGGTTAGAGAAAGCTACAAAAGAAGTTTTCTCAATGTATAGATATGAGTAAAATTTCAAATACATCCTATAATATACATGGGGAAACAACAACAAAAGAAAAGGACATCATGAATATGAGAGTGAGGAAAGAGATACATGGGAATGCATGGAGGAAGAAAGGGAAAGAGGAAATAATGTAATTATAATTCCAAATTTTTAAAAATATTATTAAAAAATTTTAATACATGGGATACAGCTAGGTCTGAAAGTACAGGTCTGTAACCCGAGCTACTTGTGGGCTAAGGCAAGAGTTCCAGACCTGCTTGAACTAGAGTGAGCACAAGACAAGCATGAGCAGCTTAATATGGCCCTTTCATATAAAAAGTAAAAAGAAAGTGGTTCACAGATAGAGTACTTACATAGCATTGCTAGGCTCTAGGTTCAATCACCAATATTAAAAAACAAAGAGGGGGCAGAGAATATGCAACCAAAGCATAGCTGAGAATAATTTATAGTCAAATTCTTACCCTAGCAGAGTAAACTCCCCAGAAGCCAACCTCTAGAACTATGAAAAATTAATGCCTACTATTTATAAGTGACCAGGCATATGGTACTTTGTCACAGTGGCCCAAACTAATAGTATTAAAAGTTTTACAAAATAAAACTTAAGTCATAGTTTTTTAATTTTTCCGATTTTGTTTACTTTTGCTTTACATATATGGGTATTTTGCCTACAAGTATGTTGGTGCACCATGTGCATGCAATGCCCATAGGGGCCAGAGGAGGGCATAAGATCTTCTAGAACTGGAGTTACAGGCAGTAGGTTAGTTGCCACGTGGGTGCTGGAAATCGAACTCAGGTCCTACAGAAGAGGAGCCAGTGCTCCTACCTACTGAACCACCTCTCCAGTCCCAATGAATTAACAGTTTTATTAAAGTTCATAAAATAGAAATTCTCAGTCCAAACAAGTTTGCTGAGGAGCTCTATAAAACCACTGAAGAATTACCATTAATCTTATACAAGCTCTCCAGGAAACGGAAATGGGAATGTTTCCCAAATCATTTTGGCTAGTATTACCTTGGTAGAAAAAAAAAAAAAACCCAGACAAAAACAGTATAAACAAAAAACACAGAGCTATATCGTTCATGAACTTAGATGCAAAATCCTCTAGAAAAGATGAGCAAATTGAATGTAGCAATATACAAAAGAGTTAAAACACTAACCCATACGTCATAGGTTAAAAAAAACCTTGACCTTTATTTCCTAACAACTGCAGATACATCTTTAACTTAATCAAAAAGGAAGCCAACAGCACCAAGATTTCAGCCTACTTAAATTCTGCTCATAAACTGAAGATGTTCTCACTCATGCCTCCTTTGAGATTCATCCAAATTGCAGAACTATACTTTAGGAGATATAAATAGAAATAAAGCAACAGCTCAAATGGTTAGGATTGAAGAAAAAAACAGATGACTAAATCTGCATATTTCTGACTGTTACTTGCATTAGAAAAAGAATTCCAAGGTTATCTATGCTAATAGAGGAACAAGGTAAAAGAGATGATCAATCCATGGATAATTTAATTATGAACAAGGATCTTTTTTTTGTTTTTTTCTTTTTGTTTTGAATTTTTTCTCCAAGAAAACTATAATTTAAATAAACCCAACCCAAATTACTAGTAAAATTGATTTCCAATCTCTCAGCAATACTGGTAGCCTAGATTTAGGATAGCCTAGGAAATCAGCAGCAGGTGAAGTACAAACTGGACAATAAACCATAAACTGATGCGTAATCAAAAGGTGATGAAAAAAGATACTCCCTTTCTTCTATTCTTCATTCCTATTTAATTTGCCAGAATATTTCTTTCACAAAGAAAATCTTAAAGGAAGCCAGTGCTTGCCAAATCAGGAAAATTCTCAGAAGAACGTACACAGCTAATTGGTGCTGCTTTTTACAACAGTCATCAGTAAATGTCAGGAAGCCAGAAAAAAAAACCTTATGCTGAAATGATATTATCCACTTTCACATTTATTCCATACAGCCTGATTAACACAAATTCCAAAGCTCAAGACTTACAAGCAAATGAAATATACAAAAGCCCACCAATACAGAATTACAAGTAAAAATGGTGACTATGAAGGATATAAACTAGCATGTAGTTGTTCATGCTCCAAGGAAAGAGGCCAGACTTACCCTGAATACAGAGCCAAAATCCCCTCTTCTTTATAGATTCGAAACAAGGCATGAAACATCCCTCTATATTTTATCTCTTTGAAGCGGACATCGATGCTCTGGCCTTGGACTTGCAGCCGTGTTTTAGTAAGGTCCACAGGGAAAGTGCCTATGAGGGAACACACTCCTGAGCATTTACAAAGAACACAGGTATGTTTTGGCTAAATATAAGGCAATGCAATAGTGGAAATCTAACACAGGGTCCTTTTCATAACACTCAGATATGCACTACACTGCCACTGACAGAAGGTAAAGGCTTTTAAGTGGAGTGAAATGCACTAGGCTCTCTAGGAAGCACGACTTGCCACACAGTATATTTGACACTTTCTGCCAGAAATGCAAAGGCGTTTGGATACTTCTTTTCCTTCGTCTGTAACATACTAATGCCAACGGCATTTATTAGTCTTTTCCTCCCACCCTTTCCCACCGCAAGTCTCCTTATCTCTCCTTCATAAAATCTCCCCACATCATCGCAAGCACAAGAACATCCAGGATTGCTGATTCAGAGGTTCTTACATGCAGTAACAATAGGGTATGAGCATGTGTATTTACGACTTCCTAATACTATGACAGAAATTGGCAAAGTCTCACTTGGTTCTACTTACCATGGTGTCTTTGATAGTTCAGGAGTAATACCAATAGAGTACTTGAGCCATTAGTTTTTTCAATTATGTGCTACTTATTTGTATGCATGTGTATGTATGTGTGTGGGTATATCCTCCACGGCTCATGCATGGAGGTCAGAGGATAGCCTGCAGGAGTTGGTTCTGTCCTTCAACCACATGGGTCCCAGGGATCAAATTCAGGTTCGTCAAGCTTGGCAGCATGCATCTTTACCTGCTGAGCCATCCTGTTGTCCCTAGCCGGATTCTTCAAAAAACAAAAACAAAACTCCCTTTTCTTATCTCAGCACATAAAAGTGGTTATTGCATGAACAAAATGGGTTTTAAGAAAGATTTTAAGATCTAAACCTAACAAGGTGTTTATATATGTAATTCTGAACTTTGGGGATCTGGATAGTGCAAGACCAGAGCATATACCAAGAAAGGCAGAAAACACTGCGGGATTGTAGATACTTAGGAAACATTCAGGGAAAAGAAAACTCTGGAAAATGAAAAGTTACAATCTAAAAGTATTTCAAAATTTAAATCAAAAGAGAGATGACTCTTGTTTGATCTTATTTACTTCTAAAATGGAAGAGAGCTTTGCAAAAAAGAAGCCTGGATAAGAAGAAAATTATAGCCTTAGCATAAATGTAAGACCATTAGTACAGGAATACACAGAAATCATTGTCATATATTTTCCTCTATGATTACACATATTTGGCTTGGAAAAATTAGCAAGTCACTAAGTTATCAAAAAAAAAAAGGTTCAAAATTTGACTTCTTAACCTCATTCACCTTATCATTACTAGTACCTTCTCAGTAATGCTGTTTGATAGCCATGCAAACAATAATATTATTTTTTGTTTTTTCAAGATAGAGTTTCTCTGTATAAGAGTCCTGGTTGTACTGGAACTCAGTAAGAGTCCTGATTGGACTGGAACTCTGCAGACCAGGCTGGCCTCGAACTCTTCTGAGATTGACCTGTTTCTGCCTCCCAAGTGCTGGGATTAAAGGCATGCACTACCACCGCCTGGGGCAACAACAATTTTTAAAACAAAGATGACAACACTCTTTTGATTTGTTCTCTGTTTCCTCTAGAAATAACTGGTAGCATGCATAACCATCTGTGGCACAAAACTCATATTTATCATCCTGTTTTTCAGATTCTTACCGAACTCGGCAACAATAGAGGCAAGGCCGCCATACACAAAAGGTTTCCAGTTCAGACCAGACATCTCATGGCTTAAAGTGGGACTTTTCTGATGCTAAAAATAAACACGAATTAGAACAGGGCACAAGAATGAAGAAAAGTACCAGTTAACGCTTGAGTATATGATTTGAATCAACCCAACTGGCAAACCAAAGGAACATGGAAGAAAAACTAAAAACCACCAAGTAGGATGAGACAAAACTGAGAGTCCTTCCTCAAAGTCTGGATGCTTATGAGTTTCTTCTCTAATGTCATTCTGTAGGGTAGGTGTACAATCATTTAAAAATGAACATGTGCCCTTCATGCTCTCTAATTTAATCGTCCACTCTTCCCCACCCCAAGAAGCTTCAGCCCATTCATCCAGAACTCCCATCTCTGACATTCATCTAGACAATCACAGGTCAGGGAAACTGAAACTGAAGTTACATAGGCTGAGGCATCTTATAAAAGCAGTTCATGGTATTCAGTTAGCTTGATTCAGGCACAAAACACAAGCTACCAACACTACCCCCCGAACATTCTCAGCCTGTTCAGCTCTCCACTAAAATTTAGCATCTCAGTTCTAGGAACTGAGCTAGTTTTACACCAAAGCAGCTAACTCAGTGAGACCCATGCTGAGATAAGGAGCAATGTACCTTGCTTCTGGCTCCTGGAGAAATGACAGCAGTGTGGATATATCCCATTTCTGACCCTGAACATCATCCTTCCAGTGATCTCCTTTCCCTTACCCCTGCACTGTAATAACATATCCTAGTACTATACGTTTTATGTTCTAATTCTTTATTGATGTACTTCTGTCCCCAGCCCTTTTTACTCCCCCCCCCATCAAATCAATCTTGGATCTGTCATCCTAAAAATCTTCAGTTTTGTCAGGGAGGTGGTGGTGCACACCTTTAATCCTAGCACCCAGAGGCAGAGGCAAAGGCAGGCAAATCTCTTTGAGTTTGAGGCCAGTTTGTTTGACAGAGTGAGTTCTAGGACAGCCAAAGCTATACAGAGAAATCCTGTCTCAAAAAACAAAAACAAACAAAAAAAAAACTTCAGTTTTATTTTTTCTGCCACTCTCAGCGCCTTCACTCTTGGATTTGTTTTTCCACAACTCTAGCATCTAGGCAAATATTTATCAAATTGTAGCATGCAACAGAATCATCTAAAAGGTTTTTAAAACATGGACTGCAGAGCCTCTTTCTCAGAGTTTCTTACTGTTTTAAGTCTTGCCCTGAGAATCTGCAAGGTGTCAAAGAATACTGATGCTTTAAGAAGGAACTATTGCTGTAGGTATCACCTGCTAAATCCTGGTCCTCTTGAAAACACTACTTTTTTTAAAAAAAAGAATCTCATATTTCCTTGAACTATTCCCTTCTTTTTCAGTGCTTCGATATATACTTCTGATTTCAAAAGGGTTTACAGTCAAAAAGGAACACCCTGAAATCAGATCATCTAACATTGAATCATGGCTCCAGATTCACATCTTGACTATCACTTACTAGTTGTTTGTAGGAATGTTATTCAATCTGTATCTGCCTTTATTTTCTGAAAACAATAATAATAAAAACATATTATAGGGTTGTTGTGTTGTATATAAGTAACACATTTTTAACACCTAGAAAAATCCTTGAAACTTTGCTTAATAAGTTAGATAGTTATTACTACACATTTTAATAAATGCATTTATTAAACAAATAAAATAAATACTTTATTAATAAATAAATAAAATAAATACATTTTCATAGACAGCATTTGCTGTCCATCTTCCCCTTGCCAGTTTGGGTTAGTACCATTGAGCTACCTTCTGTTCTTAGAGGAAACAGGGTTTTGATTTATTTTTTACAAAAGTAATTCTCTGAAACAAAGCAACGAGCAATTTTCCAGAGAGGCTAGCAAGCATGTAGATAAATGTATTAGTTATACTACAAAAATAATTGTGGAAGCATGCTTTCAAACATTATATATATATATATATATATATATATATATATATATATATATATATATATAAAATATGTGAGAGATACCCCTATTGGAGGAAAGTTCATTAAAACTCTAAAGGGCAAAGTAGGAATTGATAGGAAAAATAGGACTATGACATAAAAACAACAACAAAAAATCCTTTAAATCAGATGTGGTGGCCCATGCTTGTAAATCCAGCAACTAGAAAGTGGAGTCAGGAGGATCAGTAATTTAAGTCACCCTTTCCTACATAGGGAGTTTGAGACCAGCCTGAGCTACATAAGACCCTGTCTCCAAAAGAAAGCACAAAAAGGAAGGAAAAAAAAATCACTCTCTGGTGTCAAATTTAGAGATTTCCCTAAATAGCCTTTGATATTTCAAATGTCTGCTGAGCTTCTCCCCCAGATTTTCCGTTCACAACTTCACGCACCCTTTCTCAGTACAGGAAAAAAAATTCTACCACATCTTTAGTACCTATTAGTCAATGTTTCAAAAAATATTTAGTGTTTTAGCATTATTTTGTGTGTGTGTGTGTGTGTGTGTATGAGTGTTTGCTTACATGTATAACTCTGTACCACATGCATGCCTGATGACCACAAAGGCCAGAAGAGGGTGTTTGAATCCTTGGAACTGGTTACAGGTGGTTATGAGCTGCCATGTGGGTGTTGGGACTTGAACCTGGATCCTCTGGCAGAGCAGCTACTGCTCCGAACAGCTGAGTCTTCTCTCTAGCCCTCTACTCAGTCTCTTAACGGAAAATGTGCTCAGGATTCAGGAGCAATAACAAACCACTAAAAGTTGGGCCAGAGTCAAACTTCAGTTCCCAATGAAGTTTCCACAATTCAGAGGTGATAGGAAAACAAAACCAAACCTAGGGCTGCTTTCTTTTTTCAGTTAAATGTATGTCATTTAAATGGCTATTAAATCATATTGTTTAGCCCTAGAGCACTGGCAAATCGCCTCTCTTACATAAAATGATAATAGTAGTAGGTAGTTGATAATATTTAGTGTCTTTATTTGGCAAAAGAAGCATAGTGATCTTTATCTGTCTCCTCTCCACCACATTTTCATTTCAATTTCATTAGTCTATAAAATTATACAAGCCTGGAGAAGACTAACCAAAACCAACAATGTCCCTTTACCACCTCCCCAGTCACATCTGATAGTAAAATCTTTCGCGCCAATATCAGAAATCAAAGTCATGAAAGAAATTTTTTATCTCCTTTGATTAGACTTTATACAGCCCTTCCTCACACTAGAACAACTTGGAGGCACATTGAACAAATTTATGTTTCCACAACGGAGTCCTTAATATTTAAAGGCAACTTTCATATTCCTACATTTTTCTTTTCTAAGGCTAAATAGTCCTGATCATTTTCTTCATTCTATATGTTTTACTTCAGCTACTATAGCTGAAATACCTTTGTTTCTTTTCAGAGAGGCTTATTATACAACTGAAGCATTAAAGTTCCAGCAAATACCAGAGTCTTTTACATAAAGCTGTATATATATATATATGTGTGTGTGTGTGTGTGTGTGTGTGTGTGTGTGTGTGTGTGTATGGAAGTTATGTCTCACCTATTATTGTTCAACTATGTGATTTTTTTGAGAAAAATTTTGAGAAATTTGTTTATTCAACATCTTAAATTCAGGCATAAAATGATGACTAGGGTGAAGTATATTCTCTAGTTGTCTCGTCTCTTCTCCTCCTCTTTTAAATAGGGAAGATTCCCTAAAAGATGACACCATATTTCACAAAGCTTTTTATAAACCTCATAAAAACTTGTATAGAATGAGGACAAATGTCAAACAGTTGAGTGTCTTACATACACATCCTGTATATAAGCAGTTATAAAGCAAGCCACAAAAGTAATTTGCTGGACCTGGACAATAACACACACCTTATACAACACTCTCCTGATTCCCAGATTCTCTACCTATAAACACTTGTCTCTTGCTTTTGATGAAGAGGATTGCTCTGTAAAGCAATTCATATCCCAACTCCTCATAAAGTTATTTTGACTTGTGGAGGCTAACCTCAGTTTGGGGTGAAGGGACAGAAATAACATCTAAGTAGCAATACAGTACCCTACATATTTTATTATTTAAAAAGGCCAATAAAATTTGTCTTCACAATTTGTGCATCTATTCTTAGAATATAGCCCCTATATTTATTTCAAAGTCTGTTCAGGAAATTCTGGGTGATGACGTTCTTGGTTTCTCCTTTAAGAAAGAGTAGGTGTTAGACATGTTCATGATTGCAAGATAGCAATAGGGAACCTAAAGTTATGTGTTAAAGGCATACTAAATACTCAAACCTGAAATTGTCTATGAATATAATTGTCAAACTTTTAAAAATCACAGCCTGGTGTGGTGATGTCTTTAAATCCAGCACCTGAGAGGCAGAAGCAGGTGGATCTTTGTGCATCTGAGGTCAGCCTGGTCTATATAGTGAGACCCTGTCTCCAAAAAAATTTCACAGAAATATATTCTAACATAGACACTATTTGCCATTCCACCTATCTTTCCTGGACAATCATCTGGTGGAACAAATTAAATATTTTTGCTAGAGAAAAATTGTTAGAGACAAATTGTTACACTGCATAGAAATCTATAAAGCAGGGAAGCATGGAAAAGAAAACAACAGGCATGCGTTTGAATAATTTGGAAAAACTGTTGGAAGTGAGAGAACTTAAATTGGATCTCAACAGTGAGCAGACTGAATCCGGGTAGGAACAAATATCTGGGAAGGGTAAGCAGGGTACATAAAGACAAATGTGCAAACACACACAATTGTGTGGAGGTAGGCACCGATATAGTTTGTACTGAGACAGAAATCAAGGACCCAAGCCGAATACACAATATGCGTATTGGATGAACAAGTGAAAGGAGTAGATTCTACTGAGAGGCTTCAAAACAAGATGTTGGAGGAAGACTAGTTCTATTAATAGGGAAGTGAATTAAGGTAATGCCCTATTTTAATTAGTTACTGGGGACTACAAGCACAGTGGATTGCAAACAGAGAGGTAGGGAAATAGCTTAGGAGGGTGTGAAGTAGGCAGAAAAGAATACTTGTTAGCATTGGGGTTAATCTGTTGAAATGGAGACAAAAGACGTTTCATGATATAAATGAAGAGGAGGAAAGAGTTAACATCTACTCTAAGCATCTCTAGGGGCTGGGCAAGGAAGCACTGGTAGAAAACTATAAATGTCCTTGCTTATTATTGTCTGAGAAACAAAATCAATGTTGATAATATCTGTGATCCCGATCAAGTAACTGAACTGCATTTTAATAGATGCCTTCAATGCCTCAACCTCAGGAGTGACAGGGGTATAGAAAGTGATGGGGAGCATCTCTCAACAGCATCCCTCACACTGATACAATGGAGATGTTTGCTTACTCCGCTTGCAATCACAGCCGCCGTTGCAAACTTCACCCTTAGAAAAATTAGGATTATTCCGGGAAAGATACCCATTCACCCTGTGGGTAGCAGGATCTTGCCAATTCCTCAGCTGTCAGAGCGAGTTCGCAGAGAGAAGGGAGGCGCCTGAAGGAGGCAGCCTCCCAGGGGGGTCGAGGAAGCAGGGTTCAATCGAAGAAGTAAAGCCACCGGTGCCAGAAGAGTGAAAGACAGGGAAGGGACTCAGCTGAGGGGAGAGAGAGAGATCAAAGGACCGTTAAGCCCCTCCCAGGCCGAAAACCAGACCAGCCCGGCCCGCGCGGCCTGCCGCAGCCCAACCCCGCTCCCCAACCTGGAACTCCAGGAGCTCCCCCTCACCTGCTCAGGCTCATCAGACGACTGGAAAGCAGAGGCTCCCAAGGTAGGAAATGCCACCGCAGCGCCAACCCGGAAGCATTGAAACGAACGGAAGTAACAAGGCGTCGCCTCGGCAACAGTGGCGCAGCCATCCTAACTCCGCCTCCTCTTTGCCCGAAAAGGAAGGCGCGAATGAAAGGAAACCATTAGGGACGAAAGGCCTGAGTCCCAAAGGCTGTGCAAAAGGGTCAGGAGCCAGCCACCTGCCTTTCCGGAGAGGGAGCTAAGGTGGGAGAATGGGGCCGCTTCTGCAGCAGATGTGCTCTCCAGAGAGGGCAGAGGAGATGCCTTGTCACCCACCCGGAGTTTACCGGAGCAGATGGTCCGCGAAGCCTCAAAAACGCGAGGCAGTAGGAGGTGCATTGCATAGAGGGAGGTGGGACAAAGGATTTAAGATGGAAGTGGGAGAATTTCTTTTGCCTGCTTTTGGGACCCTTTTCCTACGGGGGCGGGAGACTGGGAGCAGAGGAGGGAGGGGCAAATTGCGATGGGGATGTAATATATGAGAGAAGAATAAATAAATACGTACATAATTTTTTAAGATTGGGAGAATTTAAGATAAAACTGAGAATTAGGACGTGAGCGGAATTTAGACACTGAACCCGGGCTCAGAAAGAAAAATAAAGATGAGAGAAGCAAATAAGCCTCACCCACTGAATGTCAGCAGCAGTAGCTGAAAAATACTAGCCTAGAGACAGAAACTTTGGAACAAGCTGGGAACAGAAAGGGGGCCAGGAAAAGTTAAAGCAAACGAATCTGAAGAGACTAATGGGAGAGTACCAGCTAATCCGCACCTCACTGAAAGACCCCAGTGGTGGGCAGTCTTTCAGGCTGAGGAGACCCTCCCAAGGAACAGCGAGTCACTCTTCGGATGCAAATAGCAAGAGGCTTTATTCAGTACACAGGTACCTGGGGCGACTTAGTCTCTCGGGAGACAAGCGCGCCTGCAGACTGGGGGAAGGTCTTTTTATAGGAAAGAGGGCAGCAGAAGCAGATTACAGAAGCAAATGCATCGTTAGTGGTCAGTTGGAATGGGGCAAGGGGCACAGGTGGTTTTTCCTCTCCCAGCGCAGATGTATGGGAACAGATATCCTGTTAATTGATGTCCTGCCCGAATCTATGGATATAAATATCCTGTTTTGCAGCCAGGGACCCTGACCTTACTCTGCACTTACAGTCGTTCATCAAAAGCTTTGTGAAATGACGTTACAGCAGCCAAGCTGGGATCTTTCATAGGGGGAGTTGTCTCTTCTGTGAATTACTGATATTCTAAGTTGGGCACATGTGCTGACTATAGGCATCCTGTTTCCTTAAGCAAACGGGAGGTTCTCATTAGAGCAGGCCAGCTGCGGGTTCCTTATCGCTTGGGGCCAGATGGCTGACCGGCTGACCGCAGATATCTTGCCTGGCTTCTCCGCCCTTGTTCTCAAGTCGAACTTCCCTGCTCTAATGTTACTTGCGTTGCTCCAAAGTTTAAGCCTGGCATTGCTGCTGCTTAGCTGTTTGTCTATACTGTGGGGGTCTTTCACCCCCCCCCTTTTTCTATCAACTGAATAAAACCCTTTATTCATTTAGCTGTGGTATCCATGTCTTCGGGATCAAACTGTCTAAGCTGATGATACTGTTGTGTCAGGACCAGAGCCTGGATGACAGACAGCCTGTCCTTCATGAATTGGACCAAGCGATTTAGGATACAAGGCCCAAAAAGCAAGATTAAAAGTATAACGATTAGGGGGCCTATGATGGAGGAAACCAAGGTGGTAAACCAGGGAGACCTGTTGAACCAGCCTTCAAACCATCCCTGCTCTGACTGGAACAACTGCTGTCTCTGCTTAAGTCTTTCCCTCAGTTTTGCCATATTGTCTCTGACTAGGCCAGTATGGTCTGCATAAAAACAACATTCCTCTTTCAGGGCAGCGCATAAGCCTCCTTCTTGCAGGAACAATATATCAAGCCCCCTGCGGTTCTGCAGCACCACTTCTGACAGAGAGGTTAGGGATTTCTCAAGGGCACTGACTGATTCTTCTAAGGCCTTGATGTCCGTATACATTGCCGCTTGAAGCTGTCTGAATTGGCTGGTAGCTACAAGGGCAGAAGCACCAGTTCCTACCCCTGCTGCTATACCTCCTGCAGTTAGTCCTCCTACCAGCAGGGCTAAAGTAAGGGATACTGGTTCTCGTTTGAATCGAGGTCTCCCTTCAAAATGACTGTAAATATATTCAGGATCATGATATGTAACTTTAGGCCATAATTCAACTAAAACACAGTAATCAGAGGTCAGGTTAAGTACAGTTGTTGATAGACAAGGGGTGATCCCAGTGCTACAAGCCCAGTAGGTACCGCTTGGTGCGGTTAAATAATAACCGGATGGGACGGGCTGTCGAGTATTGCATAAAGCTTGATGAGAGCTTGGGACCGTTCCCATGCAGAGTCCTTTTCCTGATACCTCCGACAGGGTTAGTTTGTGCTGGGGAAGACCGATGCACTGTGTGGGTGGCGAGTTATATACGACATAGGTACCTGTCACTGCTATCCCTTCATAATAGGGGGGTCTGGAAATCAAGCATAGCCAACATTCCTGGGTCTTATTGGGGTCTGTCACATTTAAGGCTAGATATGCCCCCTGGACTAAATCAAGTAACCTGTCCCCGGTCCCGGATTGGTAGGGAGTCGGGGAGGCTGTGAGTGGGGTAGAAGCAGTTGATGGGGTGGCTGGTACATTGAGGGGAGCTTCTGGGAGCACTGCCTGGCCGGGCTGTGATGGGGGTCTTTGGTCAGAAATAACTAGATTAGGACCAACTGCTTGGCGGGCCGTTTCCACTTTTAGTTTTATAGTGAAGATGGCACCTAGGTCCTTCTTAGTCATTCTGTTTGGGAAGTACCATCGGAGGCCCCAAGTCCTCCCTGTCATCCAGTTAGACTGCCCTGATGCTCGACCTCGGGGGGTGAAGGTGATGTTTAAGGGCAGGCAGGTGGGGTTGCCTTTACATTTTCCAGTATTCTTTGCGGAACACTCCCTAGGGGAGGTGTAGTTCTTATGAACAGTGATCCAGTCCCATGAGGAGCTAGGCTTCCAAAACGCATCCCCGGTTGTTTCACATCCCCAGGCATTACAGAATAAGCTTTCCCATCCTCCACAGCATCGGACCTGGTCTCGCTCCCGCCCATCCCGGGGACAGACATAGAAATCCAATTGCCCCAGGAAGCATCTTCCTTCAGGGCTTCCGCAGCCGAATTTTCCCCCAGGAGAAAAGCGGCTGCCTGCCCGGTCCTTTAACTGTGTAGGTAGCAAATCAGGAATATCCCATATCTCTGATCCTGCTGCAAGCTGGCAGAAATCCGGGGTAAGTGGGGGCCACCAGGTGTCTATCGCATGGTTTGCCTGAATTTCCCAGACAACTTCTCCGACCGAGGACAATACCTGCCATTTTAGGGAGCGTACCAGGTGAGGGCTGTCTCCCCGGACTATCATCCCTAGTCCCAACAAGATCCATAAACCAGTCAATGGGGCCCCCGGGTAAGTCTTATCTTTAGAGGGTTTTGAGAGCGCTGGACCCTCCATAGTGGTTCTGCTGTATCTCCTTCTGTACGAGCTGTTTTTACGTGGGAGGCGTGGACCCAGGCCGCGATGCCGTCAACTTTCAGTGCCGTTGGAGTGGTTAGCAGCACGGTGTAGGGTCCTTTCCAGCGGGGTTCCAGATTCTTAGTCTGATGTCTGTGGACCCAAACTGTATCGCCAATCTGGTAGCTGTGAGGTACCGCTGGTCTGTCTAATTGTTCCTTATAGGCTGCAGCGAGTGGCTTCCAGACCTCTCTCTGCACGATCTGGAGTGCCTGTAAATGAGCTTCCAGAGAGGGGCTATTAGCAAAGTCTGAAATGTTGGAGTCAAAGAAATTAATGAAGGGCGGGGGCGCCCCATATAGTATTTCAAAAGGTGTGAGCCCGTGGGGTCCTGGTGTATTGCGAGCTCTGTAGAGGGCTAGGGGTAGTAGGAGCACCCAGTCTCTAGTGCCAGTTGCAAGCGTTAATTTGGTCAAAGTCTCCTTAATAGTTCTATTCATTCTTTCTACCTGTCCTGAACTCTGGGGTCTGTATGCACAATGTAATTTCCAATCAATCCCCAATAGCTTGGCCACCAACTGACTTACCTGGGAGACGAAGGCAGGTCCATTATCAGTGCCCAGCACTTGGGGCATGCCATACCTGGGGAAGATTTCTTCCAGCAGCTTTTTGGTCACAATTTTTGCGGTCTCATGCTTGGTCGGGAAGGCTTCCACCCATCCCGAAAAGGTGTCCACAAATACCAATAAGTACCGGTATCCATACATGCCTGGTTTTATTTCAGTAAAGTCAATTTCCCATTGTACTCCTGGTCGATGTCCGCGGATTCGCACCCCCTGTCCCACCTTGGTTTTTCCTGCATTTACCTGTGCACATGCTCTACATTTGTCCATAACTTTTTGGAGGATGCTGTCTCGCCCTAATAAATAGCAAAAAGTTTCCTGCCGGTCTAACAAAGTTTTCATCTTTCGGGGGCTTAGATGGGTCAATTTATGTAAGTAATCAAGCATCTTATAAGTGTATGCCATCGGCATCACTGTTTTTCCCTTCCATGTCCATTCGCCCGTTTTCTGGTCCTGCTCCGCTCCCATGTCTGCCAGGAGCTTTAGATCCTCCTCATCATATTTGAGGGGGTCTCTCTTATCTTGGTGTATGGGCAGTATGGCTAGCGGAGCCTGCAGGGCCACCTGTTTGGCGGCTTCATCAGCCAGCCGGTTTCCTCGAGCCTCAGGGCTGTCTCCTTTCTGGTGTCCTGGGCAATGTATAATGCTCAGTTTCCGAGGCAGAAATAAAGCTTTTAACAAGGCTAAGATCTCTGTTTTATTTTTAATTTCCTTTCCTTCTGAAGTCAGTAGCCCTCTTCTTCTGTATATTTCCCCATGAACATGAGCAGTGGCAAAAGCATATCGGCTGTCAGTATAGACATTGAGCTTCTTACCTTCTGCCATCCTCAAAGCTTGTGTCAAGGCGACAAGCTCTGCTCGCTGCGCAGAAGTCCCCGCAGGCAGAGGCTGTGCCCAGATCACCTCGGTCTCCGTGGTTACCGCTGCACCCGCCTTTCGCTCACCTTCCCGCAGAAAGCTGCTGCCGTCAGTGTACCAGGTGACATCCTCATCCCGGAGGGGTTGATCCGTCAGGTCCGGTCTGGTCCAGGGCATTTCCACAAGGATAGGCTATTGGCCGCCGCCAGGGCCCCAGCCTTTGGGTCAAGACCCCTTTTCTTTCCAGTAGGCACATTGGTCCTTGTCGAGGGGTAGCCCTCTTCTGTCTCCCCCCTGTCTATCCTGTCTTTGCCCTGACACTACGGTGGCCAAAAGTTTACTCATTTCCTTATGTCTCTTGCGGTCCCTCTCTTTTTCCCTTTCCTTTTCCCTCTCCTCAGCTTCTTTTCTTAGGCGGTCCTCCCTCTCCTCCTGAGTCTCCCTCTTATTGAAAATCTTTTCTGCTTCCTTTAGCAGATCCCTGAGTGAGCTTTCCCTGAGGTTCTCTAGACTCTCCAGCTTGCGTCTGATATCTGGAGCTGACTGCCAAATAAAAGACATGGAGATATTGGTCTCCTGTCCGGGGTCGTCAGGGTCATAGGGAGTATATCTGCGGTAAGCCTCTTTGAGCCTCTCAAGGAACGCAGAGGGAGTTTCCTCTGACCCCTGTATAACCTGCTTTACCTGAGCCAAATTCGTTGGGCGTCGAGCCGCCCTGTGGAGATCCGCTATGAGCAACTGGCGATAGAGGGCTAGGTGATTCCTACCTTCCACCGTGGTGAAATCCCAAGAGGGGCGTTCAAGGGGAAAGGCAGAATCTATTTCATTAGGCAATTGGGTGGAGCGGCCATCAGGTCCCCGGACTTCCTTCTGGGCTTCCAGGAGGACCCTCTGCTGTTCCTCCGAAGTCAGCAGGGCCTGCAGCAGCTGTTGGCAGTCGTCCCATGTAGGCTGATGGGTAATCAAAATAGATTCAATCAGAGCAGTCAACCTAGAGGGGTCCTCAGAAAAAGGAGGGTTATTATTTTTCTAGTTGTAGAGGTCTGAGGAGGAGAATGGCCAGTACTGCAGTTGGCCGTTCATTCCCGTGCGAAGAGGGAATGCCTGTGAGGAGGTTGTATCCGCTGCATGCAGCTGGTCCCTTCGTCCCCTCAGGCGTGCGGCCATCGGAGAAGGACCAGCAGAGGCTGGCGCTGCTTGTTCTTCTTTTCTTTCAGTTGAGTCAGCCTCATTCGGAGGCCGTGGAGCTGGCTCCTGATATGGGGGAGGGCCCTCCGTGAGGAGGTCCATCAGTAGGTCATCATCTGGGGGCAAGACTTTTGGAGGAGGGGGCTTGGGCACCGGGGACTTGGTGAGGGTTGGGTACAGGGAGGAGTGGGGCGGAGGTCCCGTTGGGGTGGGAAGGAGTGGAGGGGGTAAAGTAGGTGCAGAGGGGGTTTCGGGGTGACGAAAGGCTTGACCCAGGGCGGTGGGTCATAAGCCATCGCCTCCCAGATCACGATATACGCGACCTGGTCTGGATGCCCGTGAGGGCCAGGATCCATCACTTTAGCCTTTACCTGTAAGATAACATTGATGTCAAAAGTACCATCCCTTGGCCAGCCCACATTGAACGTGGGCCATTCCGAGGAACAGAAAGTTACCCAGCATCTCTTCCGAACGTCCACTGACTGGTAATTTGCAATGTCTTGGACGTCTCGCCAGTGCTGTAAAGTCAGACTTAGAGGGCTGGTTACAGATTGGCCCATTCTCTCAACCGCGGTGACAGTAACAATTAGACAGACAAACAAAATACAACTTAGACAGACACAGAAACTCGCAGCGCGGCTTTGGCATAAAACCGAAAGCAAGAATTCAAACGGAGACTTTGAGGACCCAGGCTCCTCGTCTCCCAAAAGAGTCACGAATCCCTCAGACAGTGGGGCAGCCCCCAACAGTCCCAGTTCCACGCGACTCACAAACTGCAAATGGGCCACGAATCGGGCCCCCAAACGCCACTGGGACGTCTCCCAGGGCTGCGGTGGGGAGTACGAGCTCGTCAGCTCCTCCCCGGGTCCGCCAAATACAAATCTGATTAGCTAACCAGTACAAACGCAGGCGCAAACATAAAAGACAGAAGACAGACAGAAAACAATTGTGCTGGCCAGCTTACCTCCCGGTGGTGAGTCGGTGGTCCCTGGGCAGGGGTCTCCAAATCTCGGTGGGACCTCCAAATGAAAGACCCCAGTGGTGGGCAGTCTTTCAGGCTGAGGAGACCCTCCCAAGGAACAGCGAGTCACTCTTCGGATGCAAATAGCAAGAGGCTTTATTCAGTACACAGGTACCTGGGGCGACTTAGTCTCTCGGGAGACAAGCGCGCCTGCAGACTGGGGGAAGGTCTTTTTATAGGAAAGAGGGCAGCAGAAGCAGATTACAGAAGCAAATGCATCGTTAGTGGTCAGTTGGAATGGGGCAAGGGGCACAGGTGGTTTTTCCTCTCCCAGCGCAGATGTATGGGAACAGATATCCTGTTAATTGATGTCCTGCCCGAATCTATGGATATAAATATCCTGTTTTGCAGCCAGGGACCCTGACCTTACTCTGCACTTACAGTCGTTCATCAAAAGCTTTGTGAAATGACGTTACAGCAGCCAAGCTGGGATCTTTCATAGGGGGAGTTGTCTCTTCTGTGAATTACTGATATTCTAAGTTGGGCACATGTGCTGACTATAGGCATCCTGTTTCCTTAAGCAAACGGGAGGTTCTCATTAGAGCAGGCCAGCTGCGGGTTCCTTATCGCTTGGGGCCAGATGGCTGACCGGCTGACCGCAGATATCTTGCCTGGCTTCTCCGCCCTTGTTCTCAAGTCGAACTTCCCTGCTCTAATGTTACTTGCGTTGCTCCAAAGTTTAAGCCTGGCATTGCTGCTGCTTAGCTGTTTGTCTATACTGTGGGGGTCTTTCACTCACAATTGGCTAGAAAAGCTTGACCACCAGCTTCAGACCCCAGTTCCCACAGCCGCTGGACGAGAAAACCAGAAACTTCTGGGTAAATCCATTAGCTAAATTAATACATGAAGGCTACCTCCATTTTTTTCACTATATCACAGTTTCCACAATCACACAAGTGTTAATAATAGTGTTTTTTATTTACATAGGTATAAGTCAATGAGTTCAAGGCACACAGTCCTGAGGTTATTTGTTGAATAAGGTAATGTTTTGAATTGATTTATTCCAAAAGAATCTTCCTCATCTCGTTCACATCTACTTTTAAAAAAATTTCTTCAGGCAGCACACATGATATAATAAATGACATTATGGAGCACTTAACCATGTGCCAACGTGATGCTAACAGCTCTTTTGCTTGAAGCTGCCTTACAAGGTTGATACTTTTATTTTCACCTCCTAACAACTAAGAAAAATTAGGTCATAAAAGTGAAGCAGAGTTATGTCATAACTGGCAGAATTCGGATTTCAACTTGAGATTGACTTCAGTGCCCAAGTGTGCAACTCTAAGAATGTCTTCTTTAGCCGGGTGTTGGTGGCTCATGCCTTTAATCCCAGCACTTGGGAGGCAGAGACAGGTGGATCTCTGTGAGTTCGAGGCCGGCCTGGTCTACAGAGCAAGTTCCAGCACAGGCTCCAAAGCTGCAGAGAAGCCCTGTCTCAAAAAATAAAAAATAAATCGAATGCCTTCATTAATGTCAGAAACTTCATTACTCTAAAGATAAGAAACACGTGCATGCATTCCAAAATGAGAATTCTAGGAGACAGAAGAGATGTCTCAGCAGTTAAGAGCACAAGCTGCTCTTCTTAGAGGACAAGAATTCAATTCCCAACATTCAGTTCCCAAGGCTCAAAAGACTCCAGTCCCAAGAGATTCGGTGGCATCCACTGACACCAGGCACTCAAGTGGTGTGGAGAAATAAATGCAAATAAAGCACCCATACACATAAAATAAATATTTTCATTATAAAATGTGAATTCTTTCATTTTAGACAACAGCAGAGCAACACCCTCTTAGACAAATGGGTAAAATCCTGTGTGTATAGTCCTTATAACTTGGAAGGTTTGGACTCTCTTCAGTGACACATAGTATATGTGTAGCCATTCATGTGGGAATCCTTCTGTATATGTGTTGCTTTTATTGGTTAATAAAGAAGTTGCTTTCAACCAATGGCTTAACAGACTATAGCCAGGTTGGAAGATATACAGAGAGAGAACAGGCAGAGTCAAAGAGAAGCCATGTACCAGCCACCAGAGACAGAGGCCTAGTGGAGCCTTCTGAAACTGCTGGTAGGCCACAACCTCGTGGTGATGCACAGATTAATGGAGATGGGTTAGTTTAGGATATAAGAATTAGCCAGAAATACGATTAAGCTATTGGCCAAACAGTATTGCAAATAATATAGTTCCTATGTGATTATTTCGAGTCTGGGCGGCTGGGAAATGAACGAGCAGCCTCCTCCAACAAGCTATGGCCTGGGATTGCATTTCACATCCAATTCACTGAAACTTGTAGAATTATGGCCTGCCCCTTGGGCAAATCACCATCTTAGCTTTTGTACAAAACTGTGTTTTCCCACTCAATCACTACTTCCAACTAGTATCAACTAGGTAAATTTTTAAAGGGTTCATTGTTTTTAAATGACTCATGTTTAAAATTCTACATGTGAGCAAAAACAATAGCAATTTAGGAACATAAGCATATGCCACACTAACACATTTGCAGTTTGGTTGCATTATTTCATTTTTAACATTCTTTAGTGCTATAACACGAAAATCTAATCCTCCTTATCAAAGCTGTATATTTCCCTTATAAATTAGCTTCTATTATCTAGTCTCTCCCATAAAGACCAGTTTTTGACCACACATATTCTGTCTAATTATATAAGCTATTCAAGAGGATAGAATCATGAATTCTAACTCTAACATAACTTGGAAGTGTTTTATAGACAATTGTTTAGACCCTGGTAAAAAAATCTCTTGCTGCTTCTAAGAGCTACTCTCTCCCTCTCCATTTACCCTTCTTATCAGTGCTGAGTTCTTTCCAGACTGCCACAAAGAAAGAAAAAAAAAGAAATTCTTTAAGACTGTGTCAACTTCGAGATACAAGCCAATTTCCTTAGATTAGCGGGGGTTTCTAAATCTTTCTTTTTCTCTTTTTTTTTCCTCTTAGAGGGTCAACCTAGGACCTCA